GAAACATCAGTTAGTGTTCCATTCAATGCAAATAGAATCAACAAATAAGATAGAAAAAAAAACAAGTACCGAACTCTCGAAGCCATAAATAAATTAAAAGAAAAAAATGCAAGAAATGAAATTGAAAATGAGAATAACAGTTCAAGATATAAAATCACACACCGACAAAAAAATGGGCAGGCAAAGTGCATCACTCGTAACAGAAAATGTAATGTACATGAAAAGTCGTGAACGATGCGAAGTACCAGACAGGCTGACACTAATATCACACATGCAAATGCAACATGATACAATGTATCCTACAGGCTACTGCTAATGCACTGGCACCACATGTCGAAAAAAATACAAGAAACAATAGTCTACAAGTCGTGTCGTAGCTGCCTAAATGATACAAGAAAAAAAAAAAAATGTACGGTATGAACTCAGTAGTGTGCAACCGACGGGACTCTACGAACACCCTACTCAGCCTACTGGCACCAAAATCATACTCTAGGAACACCCTACTGCTACCAGAATCATACACACCAACAAGTAAAGCACGCACACAACCACTGAGTATCTGACAATACTGAGACAAGACGAGACGACTCAGACTACCAAAAAAACTACAACCGCACAACATGACGACGTACATTGCGAGTAGGGGAGAAGCGGAGTGTTGGCCTCATCGGTCAACGACCCTTCTTCCCCTTCCCGCTGTGTCTCCTCGTGCCCCCTCGAGTGCCGGATGTCCTCCAGTGGAGGTAGACTCAGACCACACGGGCGACGCAGGACCCCATGGAACCGAAGGGATCGACTGCCACGGTGGGTGCTCGAGCTTCCGGTCAGAGATCCGCCGGTCCAAGCGAGTAACATCGCGCACAGCCTCTCCCGCCAACTCCTCTGCATCCAAAGGACGACGGAACTCCTGCGGAGCAAAGTGGCTAGGAAGACGTGGGGGCACAACCACCGGCTCGGACCCCAAATCTGTGATAACGGGCAGTGGCACACCATGCACTGCCATCTGAACCGCCTGCGGCTGTCTGGCCTTAGCCAAGTGCAGGCTCGAGAACGGAACGACTGGACCCGTCGCTGTCTCCTGCCCCTCGCGTCGAGAGTCTATAGCCCCCTCGACTCGTTGCTATCCTGCCTGCACTGCCTCATCCACCGCCTGAGTCCGTCCCTCCACAGCAACGTCCGCTGTCTCTGCTCCACCCGACATAGCCTCGGGTACCGGCTCTGCTGCCACTCCCTCCGCAACGTCCTCCCCCGCCACCACCCCACCCTGCACACAATCCCCCCCTATCTCTAGACGCCTGGCGTCCTCTACGGCCCGTGCGAACGCCTGAGCACGAGGGTCAGTCGATGCCAAAAGTCTATCCCTCTCTCGCTCCATGATGTCGTGTGCTGCATCTGGAGACTGAGTCGTCGTCCTCTCTCTGGCGGTCTGCGTCGAAGTCTTGCCTGGCGCCTCGTCCCTCGATGGAGCCCGATCCGTCGATGTCGCCCCGCCGCAACTGGGTGGAAGGCCCACCGACAAATCCAAGTCTAAGTGGGTCCCCATCTCTGAATCTGAAATCCCAAACCCCCTCTCCACACTCGGGGTCATACCCGCTATGGCCGGACCGAGCTCCTCCGTGAGGAACTGCTGCATGAGGCGCTCGTCATCGCCCCCACGCTGCACCTCGGCCTGTGCGGCTATCTCCTCCTCCACTGCAGCTGCCGACGGTGCGTCCTCCTCCTCCAGTGCTGCTGCCACCTCAACCTCCATTGCTGCTGCTCCTCCACCTGCTCCTCCTGCTGCTGCCACCTTCCCCTCCACTGCTGCACCTCCTCCTGTCGCTGATGGATCCTCCGCCAGCACTGATGCTGCCATCTCCTCTAGCACTGCTGCTGCTGCTGCTGCTGCTATCTCCTCCACCGCAGCCGCGATCGTCGCGTCCGACATAGTCGCGGGTGCCATCGAACTCTCCATTGCTGCTGCCAAAGGTCCCCCCTCCTCCTGCCCTATCCCCTGGGAAGGTGATCGTAACCTAAGCTGGCGGACTGCCCCGCCTCTGTGGAGAAGGCCTCGCTGAGGCAAAGAGGACCTCAACTCCTCCCTGTCTGGCAGAAGTGGCGAGACGAGCGACCGTGGTGCAGGACTCAGAGCAGGAGGTGGCGGCATGGACGAATCCCGCCTCGTCGGAGTGGGGGTCGTCGCCTGCGCCTCTGGGCCGCCCGTGGAAGCGACCTCACCAAATGGGCCCCAAAAGTCCTCGTCTCCCCCCAGCATCTTGCTCTCCGCCCGGTCCGCCGCCCGTCGTGCAGTCTGTGTCCTCGTGTCCTCGGAGGCGGGATCCTCGTGTGTCTCGTCGATCTCCCGGGGAATGCGGAGCGCAGGGTCATCTGCCGCCTCGGGTATCGGCTCCTCGTCTGAGTCGTCGTCCCTGGGGTAGGGACGAAAAATGCAAGCACGTCTATCGAAAACGGCATCAGCCAAAGGTGGTGCGGACGCCCCGACGGGATCCCGGGTAATAAGTGCAACCTGGCGGGCAATCTCCTCGTCTGTCATCCCCCTACGAGTCATGACCCCTACGAGGATGGATCGTGGAGGACAGTACATGTCCCTCATGATCGAGTGGACGCAGGATCTTGTCCGCCATGTCACGGTCGCATGCGCCCCTTTGGGGACGTCGTTCGCCGACCGGATCATCAGACGTGTGCAGGCTCGCATACAGCACATGCTTGAGCTGGCTCACTACGCAGGGTTCTTACTGAACCCCCGCAGGCGACACGTTCGCTACTTTTCGGGGGAGGTGGAGAGGTACGATGCTTGGCTTGTGGGGCAAGCCAAGAGGCACATTTTGACGCAGACGGGATTCGAGCTGGAGGGTGCGGAGTACATCCTTGCATGTCGGCAGTTTGAGGACTTCCACATTCAGCAGGGCAGGTTCGGGGATTGGGGCGGTCCGGAGGGGCGTGCTCATGGCCGCGCGTGCAGCGGCGACAGCGAGACGATTGAGTGCGCGTCTTGGTGGTCTCAGTTCGGGTCGGGCGCGCCACAGTTGCAGCGTTGCGCTCTTCGGGTGATGCACATGTGGTCTTGCGCCTCTCCAGCGGAGAGGAACTGGGCAGTCCACGAGGGCATTCACACGAAGAAGTGCAACCAGTTGGCCTTCGAGAAGGTCGTGCAACTCGTTGAGATCACCGCAAATGTGCGGTTGACTGAGTATCGGCGGGCTGGATGCGGTTATGTGCTGCCATGGCAGCGGGACGAGGGCATGTTGGATTGCCAGGCAGGACTCGAGTTGGAGCCTATGCAACGCTGCAACTGTGGCGCGCCCGACCCGAACTGAGACCACCAAGACGCGCACTCAATCGTCTCGCTATCGCCGCTGCACGCGCGCCCACGAGCACGCCCTCCGGACCGCCCCAATCCCCGAACCTGCCCTGCTGAATGTGGAAGTCCTCAAACTGCCGACATGCAAGGATGTACTTCGCACCCTCCAACTCGAATCCCGTCTGCGTCAAAATGTACCTCTTGGCTTGCCCCACAAGCCAAGCATCGTACCTCTCCACCTGCCCCGAAAAGTAGCGAACGTGTTGCCTGCGGGGGTTCAGTAAGAACCCTGCGCAATGAGCCAGCTCAAGCATGTGCTGTATGCGAGCCTGCACACGCCTGATGATCCGGTCGGCGAACGACGTCCCCAAAGGGGCGCATGCGACCGTGACATGGCGGACAAGATCCTGCGTCCACTCGATCATGAGGGACTTGTACTGTCCTCCACGATCCATCCTCCTGAGCAACTCCATGACGGGCTGCATGATATGGACGATGGTGGCCACCCTCTGCCACCATGGATCCCATCTGATCTGTCGGCGCACCCACCGCGCCATGACACACACATCGGCGGACCACGGGATGGATCCCATCTGATCTGTCGGCGCACCCACCGGGCTGCAGGGCCAACAGCCTCTGCAGCATGGAGTAAACAGACGCGAACCGCGTCTTGCAAGAGAGAATAAGCCCCTTCTCGGGGCTGCGCGTCCTAAAAAAATGAAGGGCGGCCTGGTGGGTTTTGAAAAACACCACCAGCACACGAGCGCGTGTGATCGCGTCCACAAACGCGTCGCAACTCGTCCCCATGTCTGACAACAATTTGTTGCAGACATGGACGGAGCACGGGAGCCAAGTGATCCTCCTCAGTGCAGGAGGCATGGACGGCGAGGTCAATGCCCTCGCAGCCCTCACATAGGCAGAAGCGGAGTCAGTGCATATCGCATTGATCCGCTGCGGCCCGCCAAAGCTGAACTCGTGGAAGATGGTAACCCATCTACGAAGGACGTACACTGCATCGTCCGGCTCGCCCTCTCGATTGATCGTCGTGTACATGACGACCCCTCGAGAGCCAGCAGCAAGGAAATTCACGATCGGTCTCCCGTCTCGTGATTTCCTCCCATCGGAGAGGAGGGTGGCACCAGTCACCCAGAATGGCTGCCTCACCGCTTCCAACTCCTCCGCCAACTCCGCACGGGGGGTCTCCACCGCCCGCATACTCGCAATTTCGCAGTGGTTGGGGACCACTGCGCGCGGGGAACTGCCAGGCTTCTCAAGAAGCACCTGCTGATATGCCTTCCACGCCTGGTTGCAGAAGGCATTGAAGGAGACCCCGCTGGAATACAACCAGCGAAGGAATGCCTTCTTGTGGCGGGCAACCCACTCGCCACCGTAGACATCAGTCACCTTCTGCTGCCGAAGCCTCTTCCCTRCTGGGGTGGCAGCCGGATCACTCCCTCCTTCCTTCCTCTTGGAAGACCCCTCCGTTGCAGCTCCCTTGCCTGCTCGCCTCCGCCAGTCCTCCAACCTCTCCCCAGTGCCTGGATAAACCTCAGGCACGTCCTCCCGTTCCGGGACTCCCTCTTCACCCGAGCCACGCGCCTCGCGATCCACGTGGATCATGCCCTCCTCTGTCTCACCGCCTCCACCACCCAAAGTGGGGTCTGCCGCACCATGCCCACCATCTCCCCCGACCCCTCCCTCCGCCGGACGCCGCCCTGCCTCTCCTCCCCTTGCACCACCCGTGCCGAGCACATCGAGTCCGCGCTCCGCTGCATACCTTGACACCCTCTCCATCTGATCGGCCTCAAACTTCTGCTGAGTCCGTCAAGCAATCTCGTACAACGCCTCGTCGCTGATGTCCTTGCAGTAGTTTGTCTGCGAGAAGTGCCTCGTGGCCTGAAACTGGGTCCCTTGGAAAACTTTGTTACAAAACGTGCAACGGAGCATCATGACCCCTTGTTGTCGACCTTCTGGCCGACAACCAGGTACCGATAGACAGGGGAGCGGGCCCTGAATGTGTCCTGCACATGGTCCGCGACAGCCTCATGCTGACGGCGCTGTGACCTCCCCATGTCGATCACCCTGGCGAGACAACCCTCACTGACTCCGCCGGACCGCACCGCTGCAACCGAACACCCGTTAACCGCTACCTGCCGCAGGGTCCCCCTTCCCCCCCCCCCCCCCCCCCC